CTGCCAATCCTTTGCAGAGAATCCTTCCTTGCCTCTCCCAGCTTCCCAGGGTCCCAGAGATTTCTTGACTTGCGCCATCCAAATGTGCTAAATTTGCCACATCTTCAAGTGGCATTCTTTCTGTGTGTTTCAGTGCAAATGTCTCTCTTCTTACAAGAACTTCAGTCATGCTAGATTAGCACCCACTATGACTTAATCTTAACTTGACTCAAGTGTAAAGACCCATTTCCAAGCAAGGTCACATTCACAGATACCTGGGATAAGACTTCAGTATACTTCTAGGGGACACAACTCAACCTGCAACACTGCCATAATCCGCATCATCACATTGCATTCTGTAGACCTTGTTTCTCTCTCCTTCAATTGGGTCTGCACTTACACAGCAGAGTGGTTGGGCAACCCCAATGATCACTTGTCTTCCTTTAAAGACTTGGCTGACATTGAGGAAAATTAAAATGCGTTTCTTAGTGGAAGAAATTCAGATAAATATTAAAAAATAACAGAGGGTGAATATTTTTAGCTGTTTTTGTAGGAAATCAAGGTCATTATGTATCACCATGTGGGAATGTCAGGTACTTGATCAAGTTGCTCCATAAATTTAGGACTAGTCTACACATCTGCTTTTCCAGCTATCAATTCGTATCTGATTAAAGCTGACCTATATAGATATGTATGCTGTTAAAGTTTATAGCTGAATTAAAGCAAATAAGAAATTAAAGATCTGTCAGAGACCAAAACATAATTTTTCTACTGTGATTTTATTTCTTATTTTGAAAGTCATAATCCCATTTTCCTAGTTATGAAAGTGAATAAGCAATAAAGCTCAGGATATAAGAAAAAAAGGGCATGGGGTCTGACAGATACCATGAGCATTCTAAACAAACAGCTCAAGAAAGCAGTGAGCAGAATAAATTTATTCAACCACTCATGAAGCTTATTTGATTGCCTGCTTCACTCCTCTACTTTTCACTATGCAGACACTAAGTAGGAAAGGAAAAATGAGCCAAGGTCATCTCATCCCATTTGCTTCATGCATTAAGTATCTTTTAATCACCTAGTTGACAAAAGGTCTACCAGTTTGTCGAGTCACAGATCTAAATGCACAATCAGCAACTAGTAATTTTTCATCAACAAAACATTTTTCACATGGAGCAAATTCTAAAATGTCATAGAAGTATATGCGGCGGCTGGCGCCGCCGCTCAATAAGCTAATCCTCCGCCTTGTGGCGCCAGTTCTAGTCCTGGTCGGGGCACCAGATTCTGTCCCGGTTGCCCTCTTCCAGGCCAGCTCTCTGCTGTGGCCTGGGAAGGCAGTGGAGGATGGTCCTTGGGCCCTGCACCCCATGGGAGACCAGGAGAAGCACCTGGTTCCTGGCTTCGGATCAGCGGGGTGTGCCGGTCGCAGCAGCCATTGGAGGGTGAACCAACGGTAAAGGAAGACCTTTCTCTCTGTCTCTCTCTCTCTCACTGTCCACTCTGCCTGTCAAAAATTAAAAAAAGAAAAAAAAAAAGAAGTATATGTGGCTGTGTGTCATTCTTTGACACTCATTTAATATAATTACACAACCAAGCGCTTGCTATGGGGGCATGGAGACCTCAAATGACAAGTAGAAGTGACACTGGTTACTTTCATGGACCATCTGTGGCATCCACAAAGCTGCACTGTGCAGACCTCCCTGCACAAGGGGAGCAGGCTTGACAGAGTGGACATCATTTGCCCCATCTTCGAGCACTCTGCACCCAGGTCACAGCCATGCCTCCTCCAAGTAGCTCCCAGGCAGTGATGGAGCACTGCAAGGGTACAAGGTACAGCCTTTCCTGAACCACTCAATCCTTCTAAGCGCCAGCTTCTGCTCAGGGACTTCTCATTGGCGCGGCTGAGGTCTTCAGGATACCACTAGAGTTTAAGCCCTTCTGACCCAATCTTTATTCCTTCCTCTAATTTCTCCAGTCTCCAACCCGCAGTTCAACAGGACGCCTCTTCTCTTTTCCTGATCCTTTCCCTTTTATCTTTTACAGTGTTTCCCACGCCCCAACCAAATCTGTATACATCTGACCTGTAGAAGGCAGTTAAAATACTACTTCTACTAGTCTAACAGTGCATCAGTCAGCAATGAATCCAATCCTGATATACCTTATGTCAACTTATGACCTCACAGGCAAGTAATAAGCAGTTTGTTTCTCGGCAGTTAATTTTCCTAAAGCAGTGAAGGCTGATTCTCTATTTGTCAACTCTGGAGCCTTGGCTGTCTTCTCTCTGAACTTATTCTAATCCATCCACATCCAAGAGGAGTTCAGACACTTCCCTGAGGTTATTATGAGGCTGCTGAGCTTGTTGCCTCCAAGGAGCTTGTACCTCTGCACCTCTCCTTTCGATTAACTGCATTCTTGCTGACAGAAGCCTTTTTGAGCCTTGTGAGAATTTTTTAAAGTTCATTCACTCTTGTCTGTTTGCAGGGTCTTCCCACCCCTCACTCTAGCCCTCTTCTTGCAAAAACCTTAAGTGCATTTCTGCCTGAAAATAATGCGGCAAGTTAGGTCCCCAGCTGCTCTAAGTCCACAGTCATAAACACACACACCAAACAATTTCACACGATTTCACATAAGATGCATCAAAAACTAGACATAGGCTGTAAAACCCAAGTTTATGAGCCAAGGAAACAACAGGTATAAAGCAAAATAGAAAACTTAGACTAATATAACAGAAGTCTATTTTGAAAGGCTACAGATCCCAGAGCATGTCTACACCAAGCATATTTATTCTCACATGTCTAGTATATTTCATGCCAGGGAAGTGGACTCTACAACATTCCATGCTAGAAAACTTCAGTGCATTCATATTTTTTAGTGATTATGATTACCTACATGCAACTGCCAACTTATGGCTTGGGTTTCTCTATGTAAAGTCCAATAATCCTAACTCCTTTAGATACTTTCACATTTTATGATCAAGCTTTGCCATCTTTAATCACTTTGTTGATTTTCTTCAATATTCCTTCACAGAAATACAACAAAAATAAAAGCTTCAAAAGAAAAACTCAGAACCCAAACACAGCACAATTATTCAGGAAAACAGGTCTGGACCCATTCTACTAATCCACTACAACAGGATTTCATTGAGTTATGATTTAATCCAGGCACAAAACCACTGAAAAAGTAATAGAGTCAAGATCAGTTGAACACACAGAACAGGCAGCCTAGAACAACAGAAAGAGCAGGAAATCAATGTCAGCTTGCAAGTTCCATTCTAGATTTTTAGTTCTTGCACCCTGGATGCCATTTCCTTTTCTTAAAATAATTGGATGATGAAACTAATGGAAAATCTTAATGTCAGTAACATTTACACAAACCTTCCAATTTGATACAGATTTGAGGGTCACTTTGCATGATTTTCTGCCAATAATATTTAACCTGAATTCAAATGAGTTCTAATTTCCATTTTAAGTAAATCCAGAACAAAGAGGAGCATATTACACGGCACTACTCAAAAGCAATCAGATACATCCCAGACATATTCTACAAACAAGTGGTGTGGTCTGTTCATGAAATGGGTATCATGAAAAAAAGGGCCATGCTTTAAATAAAGGAGATGAGAAAGACAGACACAGACACAGATAGTCCTAGATTGGATCCTGCCTTGAAATCAGTTGTAGTGATATTTTGGAAGCAATTCAGAAATGTTTTTATGGACTAGTATCAAATTATATTATAATTACTATGTGTTACATACAATACTTTAAATTTTCCCATATAAAAATTTTTAGATATTCACTTAATAAACTAGAGATGGGATGTAAGGATATCTGGAATGTACATTAAAATGTCTCTAAGTAAAACTTGATTTATTTATCTGCCATAGGGATTATTCATCTACCTAGATATTGGCAAACTCTTTCTGTGAAGGGCAAAATAGTGAAATAATTTAGGCTTAACAGGCCATATGGACCCCATTGTAGTTACTCAACTTTACCACTGTAGCATGAAAGCAAGTGCAGACAATATATAAATGAAATATTTATGAATATTATATAAATAAAATATTTATAAATATTATATAAATATATATAGTAAAAATGAAAAGCAAATACAGACAATATATAAATGAATGTGCATGGCTATGTTTCAATAAGAAGGATTTACAAATCATAATTTGCCAACTCTTGATCTACTCCTTCATTTAAAAATAGGTGCTGGGCACATGACAGATATAGTCCTTGGACTCAGTATACAATATGGTGTTAACCCAGTCTTTTAGTTCTTTTTGCTTTTGAAACAACAGCAACATATGGTTCCTATTTATATTGAGATCCATTTTATCTGCCAAGGGTTTTCCTACACATCTAATCTTTCTTCTCTCATGTAACTCAGAGCTTTTATTTTAAAAAACAAAAGCAGTATGCCTAAAAAATAAAATAACCTTATCAGAAGGAAATTCAACTCTGAGAAATCTCTTCTATGCCATGGGCCAAATGCCTTAGGGCTCTCTGGTCCTGCAGCTGATTAGTACTTGAGTGACTATTGAAGACACATGGAAAAATTATTGGGCCTTCATCTACTTCAACTCCCTGGACCCTTGCTACCCAGCAAATCAGTATTTTCCTGCACAATATACTGCACATGTCCATGGCCTGGGAGAACAAACACAGTCCCCAGTGGTTCTGGGTCAACTGTCATTAGTGGATAGGCCACTGAGGAAACTGGACTACATCTGCATACAGCACCAGTATGGTCAATTTGCTTACTAAAAAGATAAAGATTCAGTTTAAATACATCGTCTGTTCTTCTGGGTGCTCATAAATGAGCAATCCTTTAAGAATGATTTTCACAACTCAGACTGCTCTCTAAGATGATATCAGAGACTCTGAAGTCAGTATTAAATATTTAGGGGATTAATTAAACTGCACCATTGGTTCATACTGCCTATTAAAAGTGTACCTATCATAGAAAGCTTCACTCTCTTCAGCTTTGTGCTTTGCCATTAAGACTGCATGTAGCACTGGGGTGCAGCTCGCGGTAGGAGAGAGGCGTGGAGTGAAAGGGAAGCAATGCAGAAATCAGAGTGCCCTGGAGGTGTACAGCTGAAAAACAAAGTAACAGGTAACTGTAATCAAAGAACTTCATCAAATACACAAATAAATCACAGGAGTGCAGTTCAGCGAAGCAAATCCTCATCATCAACCCGTTCTCCAGAGTCTGTCAGAAAGCTTCATCCTCGACCAAGTGATAAACTTAACCCTAAAACAATTAATCCTTTTGGTGAACAGTCACGAGCCCCTACTGCATTTGCAGCTATTTACTCTAAAGGAGGTATTCCTTGCAGGTTGGTGCATGGCTCAGTAAAACATAGATTACAGTGGGAATGTCCTCCTGAAAACCTTGCATTTGATCCTCTTCTTATTACTTTAGCTGAGGGTCTGAGAGAGACTAAACATCCATATACCTTTGTGTCCAAGGAGGGTTTTAAAGAATTACTTTTGGTCAAAGGTGCATCTGAGAAAGCCATGCCTTTGTTGCCTAGACTGATTCCGGTGCTAAAGGCGGCTCTGGTCCATTCAGATGATGAAGTATTTGAAAGAGGATTGACTGCTCTGGTACAGTTAAGTGTCATTGTTGGGCCTTCTCTAAATGACCATCTGAAACATCTGCTTACAAGTCTTTCCAAGAGACTGATGGACAAGAAGTTTAAAGAGCCAATCACCAGTGCATTACAAAAGCTAGAACAGCATGGTGGAAGTGGAAGTCTTACGATCATCAAATCTAAAATCCCAACATACTGCTCCATATGCTGTTAAATAAGGAGCCAACAAGTCATCTTACTCTCTGGTGACAGGTATCCATCACTGACATTTGAGTACCCATGAACTTTGTTCAGTTTATTTTGTAAATCACAGCTACCATTTGTTGTTTACTAATAGTAAGATGGGAATCTGCAATCCCACTGAATCAAAGTAAAAGGTACTCATACCAAGTTAATGGAAAACTGAAATTTCTAATCATTTGGGTAAGAAACTGTAATCACATGGATTGGTATATATTTTCTAGTGCCTTTTTATTTGTATTAAACAGTTTGTAGCTGTGTACTTATTTTTATATAGACTTTACATTTCTTGGATCTTTACCAAGTGAAAATAGGGACAAATGCCTGTGAATTCACAATTACTTGTAAATATTTTATAATAGAATGTTTGGAAAATTTTATTAAAAAAATTTAAGTGTAAAAAAAAAAAGACTGCATGTAATAAACTTTTATAGAATATGCCATATCATGAAATTTACATAGACTTAGTTACTAAGATTTTCACACTAATGATGAGTAAAAACTGAGAAGACACTCATATTGTATAGATTCCTTATTAATAAAAGAAAGCTAAACCATGTTTTACATTTAAAAATACATGCTGAGAGTTAAGATATCCTATAAATTCTCTGAAAATGGGGGGGAGGGGTGTTGGGGAGGAGAGATGGAACTCGTGCCAAGTTTCAAGGTCTTAAATGTAGTTAAACTAGAATAAATAGCTATGTATAGAACCACATTTTTCATGGTAGTATACTTTATAGTTCAACTGGGCAGTAAAGTAGGAGATTCATGGAAAAAAATACCATGTTAAAGTCCTCTTTAATTCCATATATTATTTTGGAGTCCTTAATTTATATAAGGAAGAAATTACTACTTTTAAGTATTGTTAAAAAGTTGATTACATGAACATGTCATTTACTTTTAAAATATATGCTTTCAGGTATCCTAGACATTCAGGCCATAGGAATATATTATTAGAAATACTATTAGGGCCAGCGCTGTGGCGTATCGGGTAAAGCCACCACCTGCAATCCTGGCTGCTCCACTTCCGATCCAGCTCTCTGCTATGGCCTGGGAAATCAGTAGAGGATGGCCCGACTCTTTGGGCTCCTGCACCCATATGGGAGACCTAGAAGAAGCTCCTGGCTCTTGGCTTCGAACTGGCTCAGTTCCAGCCATTGCGGCCAACTGGGGAGTGAACCAGTGGCTGGAAGACCTCTCTCTCTGCCTCTCCTTCTCCCTCTGTGTAACTCTGACTTAAATCTTAAAAAAAATACTATTGTATTTGTATTCTGTGGTTTATGTCAGTTCATGGAGAAAGATAGGAGATTTATCTCTGCCCTGACCCACCAGAAAGATTGTATTTGATGTAAAATAAGGCCACTGGGAATACATAAGGGGATCTTCAAAATACTCACTGAAAATATGCACTATGAAAACCTTATACACGAATTTAATTTTTTGCACCAAAACAAATGTCTTTTAATTTCACTTTTCCATGAACTTTTTAAAGGACATTTGTATGTCATCTATTTACTATATAAGTTTTCTATTAAAAGATTAGCAATTAATATTATAATAATAAAATAGTTTTATCCTTCTGTAAGACATGCTTCCATTGGACAGTACTTACCCAAGAGTTGAAACAATTATTTTAAGGAGAGAATAATAAAATCACAGTCTCTTCAAAGTATTTTAAATTGTCAAAACTCTGTTCAGCTAATGTGGGATTAACTCTTTCCTTACTAATTTATATAAAGCATACTATAGCAGAAAAAATACATTTAGCAATATATTCTCTCTCAAACATTTGTAAAACAACTGAAGAGGGGAAAAACCTAAAATACACATTTCAGTTTTGACTAGAAGTTTAAATAAAACCAGAATAGCTAGCAGCAAATACTCTCCCACCAAAATCAATTACACTCAATGCAGACTTAGAATAGATAAGAAAGCTTGACAAGATTATTAAAGATCTGTTTCTCCAGTAATGTGGCAGTTTGTGTGAGTACACAGCACAGGAACACACTCGACTCTGGGCAGCCCAATGCTGCTCCTAGGAGCATCCTCATCTTCCCCCTCCAGCTGGGCCACTGCAGAATAAATGCGTCACATGGACAACCAAACTGCAAGAGTTCAGATTGGGCCATTTAAAAAACTGAGCTTGAAACCTCATGGGGTTCTGTCCTTCTTCCATATTTTTCTCATTATGAGAAACTTCCAGACAGAAAAATAAGCAAAACTGCAGCCTACCAACATCTTTCACCATTCTGCCGTACAAAGCTCCTCACAAGCTTTCCTCTACCAATGTGACATGTCATCAACTATGCAGTCATACAGGATTTGCTGCCCTACATAACCCACTGCTGCCTCAAGCCTTCACTGCTTCCCAGGAGGCCCCGTCCTCATGCTCAGCCTCTCTAACTGCCCCTGCTCATTTAGCTTATGCCTATTACTCTCTCTGTCTCTCACAATTCTGTTGAAGGATTAACCACCTTATTTGCTTGCATGTTTATTTCCATCCCTGAGCTCTGATCTGTTAGAGAACAGAAATCTTAACTCATCTTTGTATCTGACTCCATACTTAGAACATTGCCTGATAATGTAGTAGATTCTCATTTAAATCATGAGGGCAGGCAGGAGAACAATGATTTATGGAGGAATTAGGGAGGCCCATGGGGTGCTGACAATATCCTACACCTTCACCTGAATACTAGTTATGTATGTGTGTATAAAATAAAACTGTCAAACTGTTAACAAAAAATATGTGGAAGAAAAGAAAGAATGAATAACAGAAAGTATCCAAATTAATACAGGATGCTTTGCGATGAAAACATAACTATGTGTTTTGTTGTTTCAAGTAGTATGATGTGTAGCTTCACCATTTAGTAAGAATGAAATAATTGACAATTACAATATAAACATACACACACACACACACACACACTACAGACTGTCTTTCCTATTTGGCCCATTACTTCATTGTGCTCCTTCTGCACCCACCACCAGCACAGACCTCTTAAGAAGGCTCTCCCTGATTGTGTAGGATTGTTATCATTCCATTGTCAGTATTACAAACCTCTGGGAAGTAAGCTTTTGCCACTGTGAGAATCCATTCTGCCTGAGTGAGCCAATCCCCAATTCTCTACAATCCCCAGCCTAATGTGGCTCATAATTTTCTTTTCAGTTCCTTCTCCTTTGGCACAAGGCTCAGTTCAGTTCAACAAATACTTAGTAAGCCAAAGTTCTAGGGAATGGGTTATAATGATAAATTAGGCAGTTGTGCATAAATCAAAAAATGTATAACATAAAATTTACATTTTAACTGCTTTAAGTGCACAGTTCAGTAGCATTAAGTACATCCACAATCTTGTGCAACCACCAGTATTACGCACTCCCAGAACTTGCCTGTCTTCCTAAATGGACACTGTACTTACTAAACAATACCCCGCTGTCCCTTGCTTCCTCAAGTCCTCGGAGTCCATCATTCTGATTTCTATGTATGGATTTGCCTATTTGAGGTACTCCATATAAGTGAGAGCATACAAGATGTGCCCTGTGTCACATTATCTCATTTCACACAGTTTCAAGCATGCTCATCTATGACATAGCATATGTGACATCAGTGATTACCCAAGGCTCTTGACATGAACTGCCAAGGCTTTGGAAGTCTTTTGAGTCCACAAAAACTGTCAATATCTAGACCAGACCATAAGCAAAGTGGAAGTTCTCTCCTAGCTTTCAGAGAAAAGTACCTCCTTCTTTGATGGGCCCTTCTTTCTGCTGGGGTCTCACTCAGAGAGATCCTTCATGTAGAACATACTTTGTCACAGTGTCTTAGCTTTCCATGCCTGAAATGCTCTCATGGGCTTTTCAATCAGATCCGAATGCCTTAAGGGCTGATTCTGAGGTCAAAGTGCTGTTTGGCTGCCATATACTTTAAATCACTGCTAGATAACTTACAATATCCAATGAGATATATATGCTATGTGAATAGTTGTACTGTATAGTTTAGGGAATGATGGTAAAAATATATGTACATGTTCAGTACAGATGTAATCTTTTTTAAAGATTTATTTATATATTTGAAAGTCACAACTAGAGAGAGAGAGAGAGAGAGAGATGGTTCACTCCTCAAATGGCACAACAGTCAGAGCTGAGCCAAGCTGAAGCCAGGTGCCAGGAGTTTCATCTAGGTCTCCCATGTGGGTGCAGAGGCCTAAGTACTTGGGCCATCACCCACTACTTCCCCAGGAACATAAGCAGGAAGTTGGATTGGAAGTGGAGCAGCCGGGACTTGAACTGGCACCCATATTATATGGCGCAACACTGCAGACGGTGGCTTAACTGGATATGCCACAGTGCCAGTCCTTAGATGCAGTCTTTTTCAAAATGTTTTCCAACCATGGTTGTTAAGTCTGTGGATATAGAACTCACAAATATCGAATGCAGACTGTAAAAGTACAAATGATACTGGACTGGGAGTTAAGAGATTTGAATTTTAGTTCCAGCTTTGTTATGACTAAATTATGCCAAGTCACAGGCTCCTCAGGTCTCAGAGATCTGTGGTTGTAGCCTAAAGTAAAGGTATGGAGTTAGTCCTGTCCAGTTATGAAACTCTATAATGCAAAAAACAGCATAATATCTTGAGGGAATGCCTCAGACACATCTGGATCATGTCAGAAAAGATTCCTCAAAAGTCTTGTGATCTATAAAAACTTTGTTTACAGCCTCTTCAGCAATTTCATTGTGTCATTTCTTTTATATTCCAACCACTTGGAAAACTATCCCAGACTGCTGTTTCAGTTGGCAGGGAAGGAATTATCTCCAGCTGGAGCCCCACTACCTAGTCATCATCACTGGAAAGCAGAATGAAATGAGGGAAATAACATTCGTTTTGCCAAAAACTTGAAGAATGGAATGAAGATATTATCAAGAGAGAGGAAAAAACTGGTAACAAAATCTGGAGAAAAATTGTTCTGGATCTCTCACCAAAGGAAGCGTATTATGTAGTCAGCTTTATCTAGTACATTTTGCCACTTATAGTCTTTCATGGTTCTAGAAACTTCTCTGAGTTCATGAGCAAAGAATAAAACATCAGACATATGGGGCCAGACCTGTTGCACAGAAGGTTAAGCCTCTGCCTGTGGTGCCAGCAACCCATATAGGCACTAGTTTCAGTCCTGGCTGCTCCACTTCTGATCCAGCTCCCTACTAATGTGCCTGGGAAAGCAGCCTTTGGAAGATGGCCTAAATACTTGGGCCCCTGTACCCACATGAGTGAACTGAAAGAAGCTCCTGATTCCTGGCTTTGGCCAGGCCCAGCCCTGGCCATCGCAGCTATTTGGGGAGTGAATGAGTGGATAGAAGATCTCCCTCCTTCTCTCTCTCTCTCTCTGTAACTCTACCTTTTTCAAAAAATAAAATACA